GCACAGCAGGTAGGGCATTTGCCTTGCATGCGGCCAACCCGGGTTCAATTCTCAGCATCCCATATGGTTCCCTGAGCACCGCCAGAAGTAATTGCTGAGTACAGAGCCAGGGGTAACTCCTGAGTATCGCTGGGTGTGACCCAAAAAGAAAAAAAAAAGCTAACTCTAATTTAAAGGAGTACAAATTTCCAAATCTGACCTAGGTTTGATTCTTTTGCCCCTCTTGGAGAGCCTGGCAAGCTACCGAGAGTATCTTGCCCGCACGACAAAGCCTGGCAAGCTACCCGTGACGTATTCGATATGCCCAAAACAGTAATAATGAGTCTCACAATGGAGACGTTACTGGGTCCGCTCAAGCAAATCGATTAACAGTGGGGGGACCGTGACACAGTGACCATGACTAACTGCCAGCATCATTAGTTTTTGATTTTTGTTTTGGGGCCACACCCAGATGTGCTTAGGTCTTACTCCTGGCTCTGCACTCCGGGATCATTCCTGGTGGGGCTGAGGAACAGTATGGGGGTGCTGGGGATTGAACCTGAGTCCAGAACATACAAGGCACGTACTTTTATCTGCTACTATCCCTCAGGCCCCCAGTTTTTAATTTTTAAAATCCTCTAGATATGCATTTAAATTTTGATTTATTCCTCATCCTGTTCCTTTATCATGATTGCTATAATGCTTGGGTTCACACATACATGACTGTGGTGCTCGCTGGGGGTCGTGCAGATCAAGTCTGTGTGTTGGCACATGTGCTTCCCAGGGCTCACCCTTCTTAAGCTGTGCTCTGGGTGGTGCTCACTCTGGTGCTCACTGGGGAGCACATCTGGAGTTGTGCACACAGGTGCTGGCCAGTGCTGGAGATTGCACCTTCTGCTGCAGTGCTGGGGGTGCCATGCAGAGTTGCCCAGTGCAGGTGGGCAATACCAGGAATGACACTCAAGGCTTTCTCCACACAAGACACTTGATTTTATTTGAATTCATAGGGGGTTTGGGCCACACCCAGCAGTGCTCAGGGCTTACTCTAGCCTCTGCGCTCAGGGATCAGTCCTGCCAGTACTCAGGTGACAAAATGCAGTGCTAGGGAAGGAACCCATGTTGGCTGCGTGCACAGGAAGTGCCTTACCCATTTGGTCTTTCTGAGCCACTGCAGATTTTGACCAGTACACTATCTCTTGGGCCATGCAGTTCCTCTCCTCTCCTCTTGTCCCTTCCTACCCCCTCCTTTCTCCCTATCTTCTCATTTCCTCTTCCCTTTGCCATTTCCCTCCCCCTTCTTTCTTTTTTGTTTTCTGTTTGTCATATCCTGATAATCAGGGGACCACGTGGTGCTGGGGAATTTAGCCTGGTTTTACCACATGCAAAGCAAGCACTTTTTCCACTGTACTATCTTTCCAGTCCTGCCAGGCAACGTTTTTTTAAATTGCAGTAGATCATCAAGTCATCTTTAATCTCCCAAGTGAAACATCCCAGTCTGTTTATGCTGCCACATTCCAAGTTTGTACCACTTCATCTATTCCTATTCCCTTTGTTACCCCACTGCTACCAGAATAATCTTGTTTCTTTGTTTTTGGGCTACACTGCTGTGATCAGGGTTATTCCCAGGTCAGTGCTCCTGGCAGTTTTTGAGGGCTATGTGGCATGAGAGAACAAACTAGGGTCTTCTGCTTGCAAATCACACGGTGATCTAAGCTGCTAAGCTGTCTCTTTCGTTCCATGGCGTTTTATTTTTTTTTTAATTTTTTTGCTTTTTTGGGTCACGCGTGGCGATGCACAGGAGTTACTCCTGGTTCATGCACTCAGGAATCTCTCCTAGTGGTGCTTGGGGACCATATGGGATGCTGGGAATCGAACCTGAGGCAAACGCCCTACCCACTGTGCTATTGCTCCAGCCCCCGCACGATGTTTTAAAAAACACCTTTCTGAGGGGTTGGAGAGCTACACTGGCTGAGCACGTTCTAAGTATGCTTTGTATGCAGGAGGCTCTGGTTCCTGGGAGCCACTCTTGAGAAATGGCTGACGAGTAGCCTCTGAGCACTCCTGGGTGTGGCTCTCCAGACCATTTTATTCATTTATTTATTTATTTTTAAAAATTTTATTAGTGAAACACCATGAGGTACAGTTGTAGACTTACAAATTTTTGTGCTTGGGTTTCAGTTATACAATGATCCAGTACCCATCCTTCCTTTAGTACCCATTCTTCATCATTTACATTTTTTAAAAAAATTTTTGTTAGTGAAACACAATGAGGTACAGTTGTAGATTTACAAATTTTTGTGTCTGGGTTTCAGTTGTACAATGATCAAACACCCATCCCTCCACCAGTGCCCATTTTCCACTACCACAGGTCCCAGTATCCCGCTCACGCCCCATCCTACCATCCCACCCTGCCTCTGTGGCAGGGTATTCCCTTTTGTTCTCTCTCTCCTTTTGGGTGTTGTGGTTTGCAAAAGAGGCATTGAGTCGCAATCATGTTTGGTCTATAGGCTACTTTCAGCATGCTTCTCCCATCCTGGGAGGATCCTCCCAACACCCTTTATTTGGTGCTTCTTTCTCTATCTGAGTTCCCTTTTCCCCTAGAGTGTGTGGCTGGCCTCCAAGCCATGGAAAAAAACTCCTGGTACTAATCTCGTCCACTCTTGGGTGTTAGTCTCCTATTTTGGTTATGTTCCCCAGATGAATGCGATCTTTCTATGTCTATCCCTCTCTTTCTGACTCATTTCAATTACCATGATACTTTCCATGTAGTACCACTTGTATGTAAATTTCATGACTTCATCTTTTCTAACAGCTACATAGTACTCCATTGTGTAGATGTACCAAACTTTCTTTAACTAGTCATCTGTTCTCTCCCGAAACCATTTTAGGGGTGGCCTTTGGTAGTTTTCGGGAGCTCAATGATCAGTGCTGTGACGCTGGGGATCAAATAAGGGCCTCATGCCCGCCAGAGCTGCAGTGCAGCCCACTGAGCTTTCTGACCTTCTCTGTCTGTGGCTGCGATGTGGTGTGGTATGGCCCAGACATACCCAAAGCCAGCCCCCCAGCCCCCAGTCTGGTCTCCAGGGCCAGAGTGCCCAGAGGCTGTGCACGCACTTGAAGCCAAGAGTGCACATGACACGCAGCAACAGCAGTGAAGCAAAGGGGGAGAAATGAAGGCCATCACGAGTGCGAGCATGCGCCGGTTTACCATTCTTGTTTTATTTTCTTTGGGGGTTGCTGGACCTTCAGATTTTTTACACAGGAGTCAATCCTAGCTGAGCTGGTGGGTCTTCTTGGCAATGTTTGCTGCAGGGTGGGCACAATGATCCAGCAGGGTGTGGGGCCACCATGGTCACAGAGGGTGGTGCTGGGGATTCCAGCCAGGGGCTCCCAGTCTGCTGGTGATGTGCTCTTCTCTCTCTGCTAGCTCCCAAGCCCAACAGTTGTGGGACTGGGTTTCTTTTTCTTTTTTTTTGGTTTGGGAACATCACTACACCCAGTGATGTTTAGGGGTTGTGCCTTGCCCAGCACTCAGGAATTACTCCTGGAGATGCTCAGGGGACCTTAAGGGATGCTGGGGTTGAATCCGGGTTAGCTGTGTGCAAGGCCAGTGCCTTACCTATCGTACTATCTCTCTCGCCCCATGTTTCTAATTTTTTGGTGCTAGGGATTGAGTTCAGGTTCTTATATATGCAAAACATATATTCTATACCACCTAAAGCCAGTCCCCCATTTTAAGCTTTTTAAAGAGCCTCCATACTATTTTCCATAATTGCTTTACTGCAGTTCCCACAACAGCATGCAAGGGTTTGCTTTTCTCTGCCTCCCTATTAGCATTATCTCCCGTTTCTGATGATATTCAAGTTCTAATAGGGGTGAGAGGTACTGTCAACTGGCATTTTGATTTGCATTTTCTTGATGATTAGTGGACTTTTCTTATACCTGTTGGCATTGCCTTTGGAAAAATGTTTATTCAGTTCCTTTGCCCAGCGCCCCCCCACCCTCCCCTTAGAGGCTACCCCCAGCGGTGCTTGGGGGACCACTAGAGTCACACCTCGGGACTAAAACCAGGTGCTCTTACCTCTTGAACCTGGGTCGGCGGTATCACTGCCCCCCCACCCCCAATTCATTATGAAGATTGAGGAGCAAGGTCAAGGAGCTTGCGTTCCCCTTCAAGGATTTTTACGCTTTTCGGGTCTTACGTTGAAGTCTTCAGTCCTTGCGTGCACTAAACGCAAGTTTAAAAATGGAAGTGAGTCACTGAGAAAACAGATTCAGCTTCAGCGAAGTTCGGGTGGCAGGTGCCGCGACCGGAGGAGGCAGGCGCTGCCGGGCTGGCTCTGCTTCCGCGCCGCCGGGGAGCCCACCTGGGTACAGCCCCGGAGCGCCCGGCTCGGCGCGGCGCGGCGCTCGGGAGTTCGCGGCCGCCTCCGCCTGCAGCGGGGCAGCCCGGGAGCTCGGCTTGGGCGCCCGGGCGGCGCCGGGGTCGTCAGCGCTGGTCGCGGCTCCACCGTGGTCCACTTGGCAGCTGAAGGCGGACAAAAACACAACACTCCCTCTCCGGAGGTCCGGTATTGGGCGGCACCGGGCGCCCCCGGCCCCGCCAGGCGGCACGGCGCAACCCCCGGCTCCGCGTCCGCAGCGCGAAGGTGCCCAGGTGCCAGCGGGCTCCGGGCGGGGCCGCGGGGCCAGGCCCCGCCCCTCGGCCCAGTCCCCGCCTCCCGACCCAGTCCCCGCCCCCCGGCCCAGTCTCCGCCTCCCGGCCCAGTGCCCGCCTCCCGGCTCAATCCCCGCCTCCCGGCCCAATCCCAGCGCTCCCCCGGCGGACAGGAAGCGGCGGCGGGCCCGGCCGCCCGGGAAGCGGCCCCCGCGCGCATGCGCGCGGCCGCGGGGCGCCCGGGGGAGGGGGCAGGGCGGGAGGCAGGGGCGCGGTGCCGCGAGCCCATTGGGCGCCGGCGCGTCACGTGGCGAGGAAGGAGGCCGCGGTCTGGGCTCGGGAGCGGGAGGCGGAGGCGCGGGGCCGAGCGAGGGAAGGGGCGCGGGGAAGGGCGGCAGGCAGCGGCGCGGGGGAGGAGGTCCGTGTTTCGGCGGAGCCGCGAGCGCCGGCCGGCCCTGAAGTGGAGCGAGAGGGCGGTGCTCCGCGCTGCTCCCGCCGCGGGCGGTCCCGGCGTCCCGCGGAGCCTCGGACCAGCCCCGGAGCGGCGCGCCCGGGATCGATGCGCGGCTGCTAGCCCGCGCGCGGCGTCGGCGGAAGATGGTGCTGCTGAGAGTGTTGATTCCGCTCCTGTCCTGGGCGGCGGGGCTGGGAGGTGAGCGCGAGCCGGGGCGCTCCCCATTGTCCCCGCGGCCCCGGCGGCTGCCTTCCGCGGCGGCCGGAGGCGGCGCGGGGGCTCCGGCGCGGCCTATCCCGGCCCCCGCAGCGCCCCGCGGCCGGGGCGGGGGCGCAGGTGGCGGGGCCGAGGCGCGAGCCGGGCGGGGAGGGCTGGGCGGCAGGAGGCGGCCGCGGAGCGCGGGCGGCGCCGGGGGGCCTCGGTCGCTCCCGGGGGGCGCTCCCCGCCGGCCTTGCCCGCCGCCGAGCCTGAGCGCGCCCCCGCGCCCCGCGCCGCGCCGCCGCGCTCACTCGCGGCAAGTTGTGCCGGCGCGGCCCGGCCCCGCGGCCCCCGCGACTGCAGGAGGCCCCCGCGGGCCCGGGGCCGCCTCCGCCCGCGGGTCCGGGCGCGCGGGGGTGTCCGCCCGGCGGGGCGCGGGGCGCGGGGGCACGGCCCAAGTTTTCCGAAACTCTGCCTGGCACCGACGCGTGGTGTCCGGAGTGGGTTGGCAGAACCGGGCTCTGCCGACCCTCCCCCCCGGCTCCAGCATCCCCCCACGAACTCGGCTTAGCTGCCCTTCCACGAACCCGGTTTTGAAGACCCGGTTTTTTACTTCCTGTCCTTGTTGGGACCAGCTGCAGCCTGGGGACGTGCAGAGTTCCAGGAAAACTTTTTAGGTTTCGGACCCAAAGTATGCCGTCCGAACCTTCTGTTTCCAGAGCAGTGGGCTACAGGGGAACCCTTCAGCGAGACTTTGGACGTGTAGCCAGCCATCTGGTCCTTTGGAACAGAGGCGGCGGTTTCGTGTAGCCCGTCGCCTGTGTTTGCTGCGGTGGCTTGCACTGCTCAGCCAAGCGTGTTTTCCTTCTAGGTTCTATTTGTTTCCAAGGATGCTGCTTTGTTGTAGCTTGTATTGATTTGTTAGTTTAGATGAAGTGGGTCGCCTGTAGGTTTCCGGAGTGTGCTGGAGACCCTCTGTCACATTTGTTTCATTTGTATTTGTAACAGTTCACATTTGTAGCAACTCTCTAATGGCTTCTAACAAATCGCTTTTCTGTTTTCACTTTTCGAAGTCTGGACTTAGAAACTAGTTTCTAAGAGGTAGTAAAAAGTAAGATACTCACCAGGCCCTTCAAATTACTGATTAGCAATGTGTAAAAATGTCCTTTTGTTTTAATCAAAGGTTAAGAATCGGAAGTGGGGTAGGAAAGTAAATTAACAGCGTAATCTTTAGTGTGTTAAGATTGGCTCTGCAGAAAGTCCCTACATTCAGAATTCAGGAGGTCTTTATAAAGTGTCATTTTGCTTTGGGCACTGGTTCAAAGATTGCTTGTTGTTAAGCAAAACTGAAAGGACAAAATGATTTTAAAATAATGCTAAGAATGTAACTTTTGTAATTTTTGGGTAATATGTACCGTTTTCATTGATAATTTTGAGCTTTTTATGGTCAAGTTCATAAGCTTAAGTGGCCCTGATTTTTTGACTTGAAATACATTCACACAGAATTTATTTGTTTTAGCATATGTAGTGAACACACTTGTGTAGATGGATGTTGTGGTGAAGATATGTACTTTAATGAAGAAATCATTTTTGGTATTTAATAAACTTAGAATAAACTTAGTTGCTTTCCCTTTATTCAGTACTTTTGTCCATCTTTCTTGGTTTGCATCTGTTTTTTTTTTTTTGCACTTCCCATGAAGTATGTGAAGTTGGAAGGAAAATTGTTTAGAATGAAGATAAATTGTTTAGAATAAAAACTTTCCTTAAGTTGTTCATTTCTAGTTCATATCCCCTCATAGTTTGTATTTGTAAGAAGATACCTTAAAGTTTTGAGAGTTCGGCAAGTATCTGATAGGTATGTACTAAAATACTTAGGTTAAAGTGCTTTTTAAAAGTTATTTGTCTTAAAAATAGGGTGAAACAATTTTTATTAGTCTGAAGAATATTTATATACACAAGACTGTTAAAACTCCATATATCTTACAGAGGGCTGGAGCAATAGCACAGCGGTTAGGGCGTTTGCCTTGCACCCGACCAACCCAGGTTGGATTCCTCCTCTCTGAGAGCCCTGCAAGCTACCGAGAGTATCTCGCCCACACGGCAAAGCCTGGCAAGCTACCTGTGAGGTGTTCGATATGCCAAAAACAGTAACAAGTCTCACAATATGTTGTGGGACCTTATTGGTGCCCTCTCGAGCAAATCGATGAACAACGGGAGGACAGTGCTACATGCTGTATGTTACAGAACTAGTGTCTTTCATAATCGATTATGCATTTGAAGGAAGGCTCAGAGGTATTTAGCTGTAGCAGTAAATTCAGTCTTTAACATCAACTCTAGGGCATGGTGTATTATTTTATATTTAAAAACCTAGCATAAATACTTGGTTTGTACTATACATTTTGTAGCTGTAAGTTTTCCGGAAGGGTGAGGGCTGTCGCCCCTCCCCTGCTAATTGTCTCCCAACTAACCTGGCTATCGGTGCCAGGGTCTGAGGATTACCCGGGTACCCTGATGGTGCTTGGTTACCCACTTTATTTTTAGGACTTCCAAACTCAGAGTGCATGCTGACTGTCCTGAGCCACAGCTTGCACTGTGCTATTGCTTGGAGGCTGGTGGTCCATCCCTCCCCCCCAAGTCACACCCAGCAGTCCTTGGGGGCCACCAGGTGGTGCTGTGGTGGGGGCCTGCGCTGGGTGCAGGGTCAGACTGGGCGTGTGCACACAGCCACTCTCCAGCTCTCCAGGCTCCAGCTGCTCTTTGCTTTCCTGGGAAGTGCGGTTTCTCATTATTTCTGTTGATGATGTTCTTGGCCTTCTTCACTTGTTTTTAGTATGTTTTCCACATCTCTGCCTCTGTGCTGTTTCTTGTATAGATAAATCCAAATGGGGCAAACTTTGGTTTTTTTTTTTTTGAATACTGTTACTGCTTTTCAAACTTTTGATCTACTTGTTGGGGCATTTCCCCCCCCCCCCCCCCACTTTTCCTGTACTTTTAAAACTGTTAATAAAAGTAATGAGAGACAATATTTTCACTCCAATTTTAGGTTATTAGAATTAAAAGTTGATAATAGTAACAGTGAGGGTCTTAAAGAATTGTTATGTTTTCTTTAGGTCTCATTGAGCAAATAAGAAAACATTGGGTTTTTTTTTTTCTTTTCTTTTTGTAATGGAATGAGATCCACAGGGAAAATTAAGATCATGGAAATAGAAAAAAATACCCAGGCATTTTCCTTTTAAGAAGTGTTGTTAATATAAACTCTGTGAAAATGAAATGGCATGATAAATTCAGTGTTATGTTTTTTCTATTGTTAGGGCATAGATGATAGTTTCAGATATGAGAAGATTTCCATATAACAATTCTGGAAACATTCTTAAAATTTGGCCCAAGTTGGAGATGTAGCTCACTGGTAAGAGTGTTTGGTTTGCTGGTATAGGAGCCTAGGTTTGGTTCCTTGGCTCCTGGGGTGTGTGTGTGTGTATGTGTCTATGTATATATGTGTTGGGGTGGTATGCCACATCTGACTTTGGGATCATTCCTAGTGGTGCTCATATGCTGTCTCAGGATCAAGCCAGTCTTGGTTTGCTTATAAAAGGCAAGCACCTTTACCTCTGTACTCTCTTGCAACCCTCCAACTGTTCATATTTGATGGAAGTTTTTCTAAGATTCATTTGACGTTTACTGACTTCAAGATATACTGGATTTAAGCTTAGACTTTTGTTGTTGTTTTTTGTTTTGTTTTGTTTTTGGGTCACCCCTGGCTTACTCCTAACTCCTGTCCTAGGATCCGTTGCTGGAGAGGGTTGGAGAACCCTGGGTGGTGCAGAGATTGATCCAGGGTCGCCCATCTGCAAGGCAAAGAGCCTTTCCTCCAGCATTATCTCTCTGGCCCAAACTTATTATTTTTACTTTTAGTTTCAAAAGTATTTCCAACTTCTTAGTTAGATTTCCTGACCTTTTTTTTGGCATACTAGTTGTCTTTTAAGATGTTTGCCATGGGGAAAGTAAATATATACCTGACACTCTTCCACACAAAGTGAAGTACAGAGACTTAGTTGGAATTAAGTATACCAGCTTCATGTGACTTTTCTTTTCTAGGGCGTATGTTTTAGCCTTATAGAGTTGAGTGCTAAAGCTGTTACTTTCTGAAACCTGGGATGGTTGTACTGAGACCTTTCGCTAGTTAAAGTAAAACAGGATAGACTGGAGAGAAGAAACTGATTAGTAACCAGGACAACATGAAAGAAAATGTGTATTCAGTTGGTTGCAAAGTAGATTATTTCCTAGTTGTGGATCATGAGAGCTTTGGCTTTATACTTAGCAAGCATGCTTTCAACTATCTAATTATAATTCTCTGCAGGAATGTAAATGGCAAGAAAAAGTGTATTCCGAATTTAAATGAAAGAGTAGGCAAAAGGGAGACAACCAAAGTTTCCAGCATTTTAATTAATTAATTAATTTATTTTTGCTTTTTGGGTCACACCCAGCGATGCACAGGGGTTACTCCTGGCTCTGCGCTCAGGAATTACTCCTGGTGGTGCTCAGGGACCATATGGGATGCTGGGAATTGAACCTGGATCGGCTGCATGTGAGGTAAATGCCCTACCCGCTGTGCTATTGCTCCAGCCCTTAATTTTGTTTTTTTGTGGTGCTATGGGTTAAACTCAGAGCCTCATACTTCTTCTTTTTTTTTTTCTTTTTCTTTTTGGGTCACACCCAGCAATGCTCGGGGGTTATTCCTGGTTCTGCACTCAGAAATCACTCCTGACAGTGCTGGGGGGACTATATGGGATGCCGAGGATTGAACCTGGGTCGGCTGCGTGCAGGGCAAACGCCTTACCCGCTGTACTAGTGCTCCGGCCTCCCAGAGCCTCATCCTTCTTACAAAGCATATTTTCTACCACTGAGCCACATCCTTGGCCTTCCAGTAATTTTTTACTTGTTAATTTGCAGAAAGTAGCTGTTGTATGTTTCAGTTTTGGTGATTTTGAGATATCTGTGAA